AATTTTTTTGTTTTCTGAAATTTTCATTTGGATATCAGAAATTTGTAATGGATTTTTACCATCGTTCGTGTCATAAAAGGTTTTAAATCTTGGGAAGTTTGTGATTAAAATATGAATGGTTCAATATTATGTTGCTTACATTTTTGCCATAGTTGATTTTTCTAAATCCCCTAAATAATTGGATGCCATACATTTATATGGTTTGAAATATGTATTGTGTAGATAAATGTCAATTTTTATGTCCATACTATAACAAATGGATTGTGATATCTATATGGTTTTTCCTATGACAAACAGTTTATGACGTTAGGTGTTCAAAATAATTATTTTGATCATAAATAGGTAATAATAGGTGATTTCTTTCACTTATCGCTACTTCTCGAAAACGATAAAATGTATGAACTTGAAATTTGGAACAGTGGTTTCTCTAATGCTTCACAATATGTGCAATATAAAAGGATTTTTAAAATAAATCGAGTTTTTAAGATGGGCTCACAGGAGTTTTTTTTTTCAGAAAATGGAAATCTAATATTTTTTTTTGAATATAATTTATTGTATATGGCTGCCATAATCATTATTATCTAGGTCAAATGCGCTCTTGGTTTTCTTGCTACAGATCTGAGTTGCGTGGGTGGTTTTTTTGAGACTTAAAACTGATTTGCGGGAAAAAGGAGTAAAATGTTTAGTAAAACTGATCAGATTTATTTATAACGAAAAATTCAAATTTAAAATATACAACTGTAGACTTGCAAATAACCGTAGGTACAAATGTCAACATACTATATTCTATATAAAATTTAAGTTCAAAGTTTGGCGAAATATAAAAATAAAAATGTAGATTGAAATAAACTCGAGAAAATTTACAAATAAATGTGTATTCGTTTTCTATTCGTCATATATATATTATTATCTGGATATTGTAATAATATTATATTATTTTCGGGGGAACATCATACGTAGATTATTAAAGTATGAACATATCTAATCACCATATTCTCTAATCTATAGTACCATTGAGATTACCCATATTGCAGTATATCAAATTTACTACGACATAGTACGTGCAAGTTGGCGAAAACCTTTCGTTTATTCAAACTTTTACGCACGCAGAACATGTCACAAAAAATAGGCACACGCAACTCGGCTCTGTCACAGATAAAACCGCACTCGCAATTCTGTTGTCGACCAGCATCGATTTTTTTTTTTTTTGGAACATGGTTTGGATACAGTCATTGATCATGTTATATTTTAATTATTTAAACATTATAAAATATATATCATGGTGTCCGTATCCATATTTTATGATTATAATTTATAACTAGCTATTTACTTGAGTCAATAACGTTAGTGAAGTGAACAATTAAATGTTATAGGTGCATTTAAAGATTTCGGTGAAAAATGAAACTTTATTCAAGATTTCGTTGAAAAATATTGTTTTTAGTGGAAATACATGAACCAAGGCTACCGACCAATAATATTGTACGTAGATCAATAATTATGTAATTTTCTTAATTACACAATAATTGGTTATAAAATGATATGTTACGACTAAGATCAAATTTTGTACCCTAACAATTACACAAGTATAATATTGTGTATATTCATACAAGGGGTAAAATAAAAAAGATACAATCTTTGCACCGTATAAATTATATTTTGAGCGATTATAAAGTTTGTCGTAAAATAACAAGAATCTCTTCTTACTTAAATATATCCATTGGGTTACAGCCGTGCTTATGATATTCGAGTAGATATTAAGTTTTGTGTTTCCACATATAATATGTATATTTTGACATTAACAAATTACAATATATAATGAAGTTCTCAGTGCGGTAACGTGGAATCGTTTAAATTTTAGATTCTGAGAAGAGCGAGAATGTATTGATTTTACAACGTGTGTGTGGTTTTTTCTGTCTGTCATCTGCACCCTTTGCAGCAGTCAAAATGCTTTAATCTTTGACTTCAATATCTTTTATGATAGCAATAATGTCGATCCAGTTTGTAAGGTAGTTTGTAGTCTGTAAGGTATATTTATTTCTATACAATTTGTGGTATCACCCGTATTGGATAATACGCGGTAAACCAACTTTATACCTTACCCTCGTACGCTCTGGCTAATGACTGTCTCTAGAATATATTCAGATTAGCACTGTTAACCTTTGAGGTACGATGGTAGCGTTTTGTCAGTTCTTCGTTCGTTTCCTAAATTGGAATGACTATTAGGACGCCACAACCAGAGCACTGTTCAGTTTGTAATAAACCTCATTGACTATAGGTGTGTGGGTCTGAGCACTGTTCCAATATTAAAGGTAAGAACGAAGAAGACTTTGAAATAAAACTCAACTCGGGTTTTTAGGTCGGAAACACTTTTATTATATTAAAACAAACATAAATGAAACACTTAGCAAATTCGGATTGCCTAGCCCGTACTACGATCGACGTTTCACACGTACGACCACAGTACCTACGTCCTCGCCGATTCACTCAGCGACAACGGGACTCCCGTGCCTGCGCGTGCGGCGGTGTTATATAGTAATCTTATAGCTGTCTCAGCACATATGCTTCACTGACCTATGTCAATGGTTTACAATAAAAAGTTCCCACCTCTATTACATATATGAAATAATATTTAGACGACTGTCTACAATATACGACAGTCCCCTTTGTTTTTTGGAAAAAATGCCCTCATTTTTTAATAATTTTTTACATACAATTGTCTTATTACTACATTAAATACTAATCTACTTTTACACTATATTTCTGTCTCGGCTTATTCGCGTCGTTGACTATAAAATTATGCTTAAATGTTAATTTTAATTTACTAATTTATTTTTAAATGCATGTTTTAAACAAGCAATGATATACTAACACAGTATAAAATAAATCCTACAGACTGCCTAGGCAGCGAAAAATATTTAATGCTAGAAACCCAGATAGTAGACTATTCTAACGAAGTAATCTTATACAATTATTCCAACGTATATAGTAATATTCCAAAAAGAATGACAATAGCCACAATTCATGAATTAATTATACAAAATAATTAACACAAATTATTACAACAAATTAAATTTAAAACAGACAAATCGATATTTCAACCGCCTTAATTATTTTATACTGTATAAAATTAACTCGGAATATAAGTACAAAAAAAAATCAACCTGTGGCAATATTATGTGAGGATCTAGAAACAATTAGAAACATATAATTCATAAATACATATTAATGATTAATAATTTTTTTATAATATAAATATAAATTGAGTTATATTTCATACTGTATTATAATGTATGAAATTTTTACTCAGAATATAGATACAAAAATGTATGTGAATACATATAAGGTTATAATAATTTATTGATTGGCTCTTTGTGGAAAATGTTTTCTTAGAGATTTTTCTCAGTTTGAAGTATAATATTTTCATTTCGACAAATAGCAGTAAATGTTCGTTGTTCTTCTATGGGATTTTATTCTTCGATTCTGTGGTAGTTAATTCTTCTTCTCTTTTTGTATTTCATAAGGTAAGTATTTATTATCTTGCTTGTTTTAGTTTTTTTTTTGAATTTGATTTGTATATATTTTTTTTTATTCTTATTTTATTTCTATTTTTAAAATGTCTGTTTGGACTGCAGTTTCTTCTTCGTGTCTTCGTATGAAAAGGTATTTGCTTATTGTTTTTATAATTATTGGTTTAATGCTTATTGTCTACTTTGAAAATATTATATTCGCACTTTGTCTCAGAAGATTGTTGCGGCTTGTTGTCTATTGACTCGTTAATTTTGATTATGCTGAAAATACATTCTATTCTTTTGTTTTTTTTTTATATCTTTTTTTTTTACATGTTTTTAATATTTTATTATTTTCCCTTAAATGTAATTGTGATATTAATTCATATATATATATACTATATAGGTAAAGAGTTAATTGAACTTATACATGACATATACTTAATTTATTTACTTAATTTATTACTGTGTTTAATTACATATTAGTTAGTTATATTTATATTTTCCTAAAAGGGGGTTTATTATTATATTGTTTTGATAAATTTTAATTTTTACAATTACATTAATTTTGTTTAAGGTAATATTTAGAAAAATTATTCAATGGACTTGATAACATTTATAAGATTCTCGAAGCCCTCCTGGATTTTTATCAATGTTTTCGGTAACTTTCTTATGTCTTCGTTGTTGGTGTTTGTTCTCGGGTTTAATTTCTTGTTTATTTTTTACTAGGGAATAATCTATACATGATAGATTTGAGCCTGTGTCTATTATTGGATTTTGTTCGTTGCCGTCTAGTTTTATTTGTATGGATAGCACTCTTTGTTTCCGGTCTGTGTCTGAATCTACGCTTGTATTTTGATTTTTGATTTTAATTTCGTCTTTGTTTTGAATTAGCTGGTTTTTGGTTTCTATGGCTTTCTCGTCTTCTTGTATGGGCCGATTCCGATATTCTCTTATGTAGTTTCCGCATATTTCACAAAACCTAACGTTTCCCCCCTCACTCCAATACTCTTCTTTGTAATCGTGGTCGTCTAGTACATCCTTGGTTGTGGACAAATATTCGCAGTCTTGGCAAAATTGTGAGTACCATATTGTTGATTTGTCAGTTTTAAAATTGTTGCCGGTTTTATTTTTTTCTATTGTGTTTTGTTGTGATTGATAATTTTAAGCGATCGAAACATTCGTATAAGAAATGGTCTACATTTTTTTCTTTTTTTTTTCTTTTTTTTTTTTTTTTATTAGATAAAATTGAATATTTACAATCTGTAATTTTTATATACAATAAGTAAATTTGGTAATGAAAGAATACAACAACATGAAAGGCATGAGGAGGGAGGCCCACCAGTGTGGATACCCTCTAACAAGTTAGTTATAAATAAATAACAATAACAATAGCAATTTAATTTAAGTTATGTATATAATAATATTGATATACTGTGTGTTTGTGTTATTGATGTACGGAATATGTGGTGTGTGTGTGTGAGTGTGTGTGTGTTATGGAGTAGGGGTTATAGGGAGTGTTATTTTGTTTATTAGGGATGTTAATACAGTAAGAAGGGGGTTAAGTATAGATTTTAGTTCGTCGAGGAATTTGGTGATGATGTGTAGAGATTGATCGGGTGGTGGTCTGTTAGCTGCGATTTCGGCGTATGACGGTTTTCCTTTTGAGTTTGAACTGGAGGCTTCATTTCCACTTCTTCGAGATGGAGGTGGTATAGGCGGTATAGCAAGTGTTGGAATAGGTTGCTGTTCTTTATTTATTTTTTTAGCTTTAGGTTTGGTGCGGTTTAGTAATTTTTTAAGGGATTGGCATCCTTTGTAGTTTGCGGTGTGGTTTCCACCACAATTTGCACATTTTGCGGGTTCCTCCCACATTTTTTTCTACAGTATTAAAGTCGGGAAAAACTGTGTTTATTATTATTTTATTGAATTGAAGTGGTTTATATATTTTTGTGATAATTCCTGGTGTCCAATTATAATCTTTTTCGAATATCCCTATACTTTTCCTATTTGATTTCCAGTATATTATGGCATTTGTATGTTCGGAATCTTCGTGTATTAAATATAAATTTAAATTAAATTGGTCACAAATAAATGCTAGATCGTCATTTTTAAAATAGTAGCCAGATTTGCAATTAGGAATGCCGAGCATATTTAATAATTCTACCGTCTTTCTATATATACCATGTTGTTTCAAGCATATTCGTAGTGCGTGGGCACCACAATCACCGTCTCCGGGTACGTCTTTCGTTTTTATGAATGAGCCAGCTATTAGTGCGATTGCGTTCTTTAAATTATCACTGATCGTGTTATTAAAATTTTTACCTATCGTAATATTAGTAGTTTGGGAATCATTGTTTTTATAATATTTATTTTCATTGTCGTTGCTCGGCAGTAGGCATATTAAAATTTTTATTTGCGTGTTTTGAAAAATAAACTTGATCATGGTAGAAATAACGTTCCAATCCTTTTTGTCTTGTCCAGTGCAAATTTTGGGTAATGCTAAGGTAGAAATATTATTTTCTATACAAAATTGCCTAGTATTAGTTAATGTGTTAAAAATGTTAGTGTATGCTGGTTTATCGTAATATTTATTTTTTGTTATGAGGTATAAAATCCATTGACTTCCGTTTTTCAAATAAGCAATTTCGGTGGTTTTCTTTTCTTGGTCTATTAATTTGTGTACGTTGTTAAATTTATTTCTGAATTGTAACGCGATCCCCTTCGACATGGTAAGGCATTGACTTGTACAATGGCCGATTGCGATATCATTTGGTAATGAAAAAATATTTACCGTCTGTTCACTGTAATCGCATAGGAAATCGGTTCTATAGTTATTGCTGAGTAGGAATTTTTGGAATTCATTTAGTGGGTTCAAACTACTTATTGTTACGATGTTTTCTATAGATTTTTCGTCATCGTCGTTTATTTCATTAGTTATTAATTTATTTGAATTTGTTGATTTGTACCAATTTTCTACAAAATGTATATGATTATTTTTCTCAGTCTGCTTTTCTTTGTTAAATTTTGAGTTGTCGGCTTTTGTATAAATATTATTTGTTCCCCGAGTAAGATATTCCGATTTTTCTCTTTGCTCGGGTGCTATTCGTTTTTTGAAAAATTGCAATCGCTAGCATAGTGTCCTTTATTATTGCATTTGTAGCATGTTATTTTTTCTCTTCTGTTAAATCCTTCCGGCGTCGTGGATCTTGAATATCTTTCTCTGCTGTTTTCCCTACTGTGCTGTTTCCTACTTATGTCATTTTCACGATTTCTGTTCTTATAACTATCTCTATCTCTGGATCTGTCGTAGGAGTTTTCCCTATTTCTTGAGTTAGACCTATCTCTATTATTGCTCATTTCTCTACTGTTATTTCTATATTTATTGTTATTGTATCTATCTCTACTGCTTTCTCTGAGCTTATAGTTGTTGTACCTATCGGAATAAGGACTTTTTTCCCTATAATTGTTCCTGCCTTCGTGATCTGTTCTTCCTGGATATGGACTTTGGTCTCTGTATTCACGTTGTCGTCCTCGGTAATTTGTTTCTCTATTATAACTTCTGCTCCTATCTTCATTATAATTATAATTTTTATTATTATATCGATTATCTATTTCTTCATCATCGAAGTTTACCGATTTATTTCTTCTTCCTGTAATGTTGATTTGTTGAATATTTTCCCGTAACTGGTTCATCTCCTTTTTGTATTCTCTATCTCTTTCTATTAACTGTCTTTTTAGTTCATCGATTTCTCTTCCTTTTTCTTTTGTTTTTTGGTTTAGTTGAGATACATGTTCATTAAGCATTTCTGTATAATCACTTAATTCTGGTCCTCTGTTATTAATTCGAAATTGCATCAATTCAAATTTTTTTAAATTTTTCTTTAGTTCCTTTAGGTTGCTATTGTCGTGTAATGAAATCGCATGTAAGACTGTCTCTTTTAATCCCTTTAAAATATAAGTGCAAATTTCTTCTTCCTGCATATTTTTATTTAGTTGTCTACATATATTTTCTATTTCTGTTACAAAACTCATTATAGACTCTGTATCTCCTTGACGTCTATTTTCTAATCTAGTTTTTAAAATTGTATTGTAACCCATTGGTTGAAATTCGTCGAGAAACTCCTGTTTCAAATTATTCCATGTCCAATTATTTTGTTTGTCTTCCAAATTTTCCAAAAATATACTTGCTGTACCTTTTACGAATATCGATAAAAATCTTACTTTATCTTCGTCCTTCCAACCGTTTACATCTGCTGCTTTTTCGTATTGCTTGAAATATTTTCTTACGTCCTCATTACCTGAGAACTGGTCTGGTCTAATCATTAGAATTTTTTCTGTCATTTTCTGTGTTTGTTTGTTTAATGGAGTAGAATGAATTTCAGAGTTTACGTTATCTCCTTTTTGATTATTTATTGCTGTATTTTCGTTTTTGAATTTTGGTTTTTCCCTTGTGTTATTAGAATCAATAGTTGTTGAATTATTAAGATTTATTAATTTATTTTCAATAATCTCACTATTTTCTGGTTGAGTATTTAATTTTAATTCCTCATAAATATTATTAGAAGTATCATTAATCTTAAGATTTTTTAATATATTTTCATAAGTATCAGAACTTTCTTTTTGACAATTTTGGTAAGTTATATCTGAATTTTCTAGAATATTTTTGGTGTTATTCACAAATGAGCTTGTACTGGCATTAAGATTATCGTATAATTTTAAATTATCTTTTGATATTTCTGAAAAGCTGTCTGAAGTTAATTTATTAATTGTATTTGTGTCAGTGCTTGAATCGCTCGAATCGAGTATTCCTGCTTCTTTTTCTAATTTTTTAAAATCGATTTTATTAGTTTTTGCTTTGATTAAAATTAAATCGCATTCTTCTTTGCTTAATTTGTTATCTATGTCGTCTAATGTTATGGTGCCTTTTAAGTATCTACTAAGTCTAGCTCTTAATTCACTAGTTGTACCTGTTGATTTTAATTTTTTATTTTCGCAATATTTAATAAGAAATGGTTTTTTGAGAGTATAAATTTCTGTTGCAGTATTTATTGTTATTGAAAGATCCGATTTAGGGTCTTTAAGTTGATTCATTAATTTATAAAATTTGAAAAATTAATTTAAATAATCCTAAATCTATACTAGGACATTTTAACGGTTTTTAATTATGTTTATCTACAATTAACCTACTTTTTACTATTGGTAAAATCCCTAAAAATTTAAATTATTAAGAAGTTTGACAAAAAAAAAAAATACTACTAGATTAATTATAATACTATGTTATTGAATAAAAAAAAATCCTATTTAAATTTAAAAAAAAATCTAATCTACAATCCTAATATTAACACGTAAGTATATCACTTAAATTAAAATATTTTTGCGGTTATAATTATATCGAATAAAAATTTTGAAAAGTAAAAGAGAGAAATAGAGAGAAAAAATTGAACTAAAAAAAAAAAATATCCTATTTAAATAGTTTCTTTAAAAAAACCTAATCTACTTGTTTAAAACTTAAATTAAAATTTTGCGGTTATTTAAAATCGAAAAAAAATTTTGAAAAATTATTGAACTAAAATTCTATTTAAATTGTTTTAAGAAAAATCTAATCTATAATCCTAATATAAGTATTAAGTATATTACAAAACGTTGCTCACCTTGGCGTATACTTGTAGACGCACGGTTGCAAAAATTGTACCACGCGGCACAAAACTGCTGTCTTGTCGGTCAGACAAAAATCGAACGCGTATGTGTTACTCACTCGGTATACACACGCACAAAAATTGCGTTCTGGGTTTACACTGCACCCAAAACACAAAAGGTATATTTTACTTTAACGGAAAAAATCACTAAACTCGCTCCGGGTTTTACTATCCGAAACGTGCACAATTGTTGTATTTCACTTGTACCAAAAAAAAATGGTGTGTCAAGGGAATCTCTCCCAGACTACACGTAAAAACTGTTGTACTTCTCGTACGTAAACACTTTCAAAAAATTAAACTTACCAAGGTTGAGGTAGGTACCAGGGCACAAAAAAATCAATCAAAAATATGTCTCCGACCGTGGATAAGTAACCCCGTTGGGCGCCACTCTGTGGTATCACCCGTATTGGATAATACGCGGTAAACCAACTTTATACCTTACCCTCGTACGCTCTCTATGACTGTCTCTAGAATATATTCAGATTAGCACTGTTAACCTTTGAGGTACGATGGTAGCGTTTTGTCAGTTCTTCGTTCGTTTCCTAAATTGGAATGACTATTAGGACGCCACAACCAGAGCACTGTTCAGTTTGTAATAAACCTCATTGACTATAGGTGTGTGGGTCTGAGCACTGTTCCAATATTAAAGGTAAGAACGAAGAAGACTTTGAAATAAAACTCAACTCGGGTTTTTAGGTCGGAAACACTTTTATTATATTAAAACAAACATAAATGAAACACTTAGCAAATTCGGATTGCCTAGCCCGTACTACGATCGACGTTTCACACGTACGACCACAGTACCTACGTCCTCGCCGATTCACTCAGCGACAACGGGACTCCCGTGCCTGCGCGTGCGGCGGTGTTATATAGTAATCTTATAGCTGTCTCAGCACATATGCTTCACTGACCTATGTCAATGGTTTACAATAAAAAGTTCCCACCTCTATTACATATATGAAATAATATTTAGACGACTGTCTACAATATACGACAAATTATATGGTATAATTTTAAAAATATTTTGTCTCTTTGTGAGCCATTCACCGAAACGTTTGAAGTGATAGATTTATTTTAGTTTTATATTTTCTTTAAATGTTGATTAAAAAAATTATTTCAATACAAGGTTTGTAGTAATTATTTTATACTGTTATTAAATAAGAATGAGGGTATAAA